CTTGAGAACCTGGGCGACTGTGTTGGGCCCGTACCACTGGCCGATGGACTTGCCCTCGCCGACGCCCATTTGTGCTGCGGAGACAGCTGGTGAGCGACGCCCGGCCTCGCCCGGCTGAGGGGTCCTGGCGGCGGCCCCCTCGGGCCTGGTCTCCACCCCCAGCAGGGCCGGCGGCGCCCACCTATCTGGTGGATGGAGTAGCAGCTGTCCTTGCGGTCGACGAAGGCGCTGAGGACGCCGAGGTAGCTGTCCGGCTGCCTCTTGCGCTGGGCCCACCGCCAGTCTGCGAGGACAAGGTGGGTCACAGCAGGGCCCGGGAAGCCCGTGGGGACACGAGGTGTCCGGGCGTGTCCTGAGCTCGTCGGCGGCCGCAGCCACGGCCGCCAGGCTCCTACACACAGGAGGGCGACACAGCAGGCCGAGAGCAGGCTCCCGCGGCCGCAGGGGCCCGAGACGCCGCCGCCGCCGGGGCTGGACCCCGCTCGGGCTCCCGGCGCCAACTCACCTCGGCCTAAGTGCCGGCACACCAGCGCCTGGGCGAAGATCATCTGGCCGCAGCGCAGCATGCAGCCCCAGCCCGTGTCCGAGGTGGGGCCGGTGCCCCCTGCGGCGCAGACACAGCACGTCAGCCCGGGGCCCCGCGGGGAGCAGCATGTCCCCCAGCCCCGGGGAGACAGCGGGTGTGAAGGGCCGGCCAGAGGGCGCGACAGGGCCCAGGAAGGTGTGACCCAACCAGGAGCCGCGGGCCGTCCGCAGGGAGGGAGCGGCTGGGGGCAGAGGCCTGGCAGGGCCTCGGGCCACACGGGCACTCGAGGCACGTGTCCCTGGGCCACGGGGCACGGCAGGGACCAGGGCGGCTGGGCAGCCCCCGGCCCATCAGTGCGGCCAGCAGCCCTCGGAGGCCCGTCCACTACCTCTGCCCACCTCCAGGGACGGAAAGGAAGGGCCCCTGGGAAGGGACGCGCTCAAGCCGGGCCCACCACCTCTCCGCAAGGAAGCCCGTCCAGCACCCTGGAGAGGGGGCAGCAGAGAGCCGGCCCAGGCCACGGCGAGGGCAGCGGGCAGCTGAGCCAGGAGCCGCAGGGCAGCAGCCCGGCCTGGGGGGCAGACAGGACGGTGTGCCCCTCGCCCCCGCAGCCAGCGGCCTGCCCACACCCACCGATGGCGGGGAAGTTCTTCCTATATGTGAACCAGAGTCTTGAGGTCACGTCAGACAGGATCTCGTCCCTCTCTGCAGGGGAGAATAGAACAGCCCACACCTCGCGCCTGGGGGCCACGGGGAGGGCCCCCAGACGGCTCCCGGGCCGGGCCGGTACCTGCGGACACACTGTATCTCCTGCCCAGGATCCACACGGGCCCCGAGGTCTCGGGGAAGTCCTCGAACTCGGCGAAGCGCAGCGTGTCATAGGTCAGGGTGGCTGTCGGAACCAGAGACGCCCTGGTCTGCTGGCTTCGCGCTTGCCGCGACGACGCCAGGGCCCAGCAACAAGTCCACCGGGCAGATCCTGGCCGGACACTCGCAGCGCGCGGCCCCGGCCTGCCCAGGGCCCGAGCGATGTCCCGACTGCCAACAGGAACAAGCCTGGGCCGGCTGTCTGGGGGCCTCCGCACAGAGCGAGGCCCCTCTGCCCCGCCCCCGCCGGCTCCCCGCCGCGGCGTCCCCCCGCTCCCACTGGCAGCACCCAGGCCGTCCCCTGTCCACACCGCGAGGGCCCGTGTCTTCACGCCAGCGTGCAGCCGGGCGCTGGGCGGCTCCCGGGGAGC